GTAGCTTAATGGGCCAATTTTGGGCTTTTCGGCCCATTAAGCCCAAAATTGCGAAAAACCAAAATTTTAATTTTCAGGGATTGAATGATAAACTTCACAAAACAGGAGGTAAAAAGGGTAAACAAAACCAATTTAAGGGTTATGAATGATTTCTTTTCCAAACAAGGATCAAAAATGTAAACTTTTGGATTTTGGGCCAAAAATTGTAAAAGTTGCAAACAGTTTGGGTTTAACTGAAAAAATTTCTTACTGGAAGGGCTGAAACTGCCAAAGAGAAATTTTGAACTAAAAAACATCACTTAAACAAGTCTATGGGTCAAAATGCCAAGAAAATGGTTTAAAGGCCTAAAAAATGATCTTTTTCAAAATAAGGGACTAAAATTGTTATTTTTATTAAAGAAGGGCTGAAAAGTCAACCAACATTTTGAAGCACCCAATTATTTTGGTTTAAGATATTTGAGTCAAAAATACCAAACTACAACTCATCATGAAATAGAAATATGAATATACGTATAATTCCAAATATCGTTATAAACAATCGACCGGCCTCGTGCCGATACGAGATAACAATCGTTCAATCAAACTTTTCCAACATTATACTATACCTAAAACAAGTAAATATCCAAATAGTTGGGCTTGAAAGATCCTAATCATGCTTATTGGCCTCTTCGTGGCCCATTGACATGACTTTGGGCCTAACATAATAATAAATGTTATTGGGCCTCCGGTGACCCAATTACAGTTTTAAGGGACCCTCAATGGCTCTATATTGCTATTGGGCCTTGGTGGCCCATTGCATTGCTAGTAAGGTCCAAATTTAATCAAATATGAAATGGGCCAATGTGTCCTTCGTATAACCAAAACCTTAAATAACACGCGTAATTAGCAGGACCTTGTATTCCTCTTCTCCGTGTCTGTTAGGCTTATTTGAAATCAAAGTAAACAAACCCAGGTCGTTAATCAACATAATCAATTTTGTTTGGATTAAGTGAGTAATAACGGGCGACACCTCTAAGGGTCGTTTGTAGTCTGTAGTTATAATCAAAGTCTCCTGGAAGGAGAGCGAGGTTTGTGTATAGATCTATACGGGGGTGACTCCCCCACCACCTCAGCTGTTCGCTACAGTTAGACTCGGCCAGTCTAGGGTGACAAAATCTTAAGATCAATCCGAGTACGTTAGGTTGCCAAGACAGACGAACTAGTCATTATTATGCATAGTTATAACGACTCACATAATTAATTAAACCAATACCATCCGAGTAATCAAGGAAGAGTAATCAAAATCATTCGTTGTGGCGGTATTTTATAGCAATATGAAAAACAATTATATTTTATGTTATCGGAAACATCGGGTTTTTGAGGAAATCAACAACTCGCTTGTATTTTTCTACAGCTATAATACAAACTTCCTTTTATACACGTTTTGAAATCATTCATGCATCAACTTATGGATCTTCGCACTTTGGTAAACAATTTTCTTTTCAGAAAATATCGGATTTTCTGGGTTTTACAAACTACACAAATCATTTTATCACAACCCTACTTATGAACTCACCAACATTTCAATGTTGACCGTTTTTCAAAATAACTTGTATTATCAGGTAACAGGTAAGCTGAAGGGTAATATCAAGTATATTAGGATGTTTGTTTTGAAACTCTCAAACAATTATGTTATGGATGTGTAATATTTAAAACAATGTACTGGATGTGAACATATCAGTTGTAATGTATTGATGCATGGTGATGTTTATGTTGTGATTCATGTATATCATTGTGATGCTGATATTCAATTTAAGTCATGCGAGCCCTCGGACGTTTCCGCCGTCTGGTTTCGGGGGCGTGACAGGTTGGTATCAGAGCTCTGTTTATAGTGAACTGGCATATCTAACCACACATTGATATGCAACTATAAACCAAAGAGGGACTCTAAAACAACTCTGAACAAAACAAAATAAAACAACGATAAAAACATCTTTACTTGTGCGATATAGGAAAAGAACATAATACCAAATCAAATAAGATATACTGACATCTCGTTAAGTCGGGACTGTTCATGGTTGTATATAAGGGGTGCGTGTAACCTGATCAACTACATTTTCTCCGAAGAAGTACAACTAATACATGCCCCGGTAAAAACCTCGATGGACGGTAAACCTAAAACATACCCTTTTACCAAGAAAAGAACATCAACTCAATTACATAATAACTAAAAATATTAGGAGAATAATAGTTTACTCATATATCTCCTCTCAGTCACCATGGAAGGAGAACACCAGGGCATTCAGTTTCATCAAGTCTTAGTGGCCCACGGATGATCGAGACGAACCCGAGGGAGATCAAGGGGGAGCACACGGCATCGGGCCCGACGAGTACACGGACACAGACTACGTTGATTGTACCGACCACAAGACTCAGGCAATTCTGCATCCTACCAGCGAGATGCAGCAGGACCACCCCGCCCCACCAGGGAATCCCGCGAGGGAGAATCGCTCTCCGGAAGCTGAGATTGCTGCTCTGCGGCAACAGCTATTTGCCATGGAAGCACGAGCGGTGCAAGCTGGAAAGGAAAGAGATGAAGTCATTGGAGAAATGACTGAGATGGCCCAGTTGTTGGCACAACACTTCGGTATATGAGCTTACTACCGTCGGCGAGCGCTCCTTAGAGTGTTAGGACTAGTCATATCTATCCTTAGTATTATGCTTATATGATCTATGCTATGTACCATCGACTCTATGTTTAAGTGCTTACACTACTCATAGAGTCGTTACGCTGCCGAACTTGCACCACTTATGTATGCTCTTTCGAGCAAATTTTCATGTAACAAAGTGCGGATAATATTAATGGAAAAAAAAAATTATGTGTTCTATTGTGATGTTGTGATATGCTATGTGTTATGTATCCATGATTGTATGCTAATTTGTGAAACTACTTAAGTTCATGCAATACACCTAGTTTATAGGACCACAATCTCACAAAAATCATAGGCACTCAACATATTTCCGTTCCATGACAGAAAGATGCCCCAACGACCAACCCGTGGAAACCCTGGACCAACCACACCCGAAGTCAACTCGGCTGCATTCCAAGCAGCTGTATCTGCTGCGGTTACTGCGGCCATGGCGCAAATCCACCAAGGGAACAATGGTGGAGTCAATGGACAAGGGGCTGGAAGTTCGAACAACGGAATAAATCAAGGACTTACCAAGACATGCTCCTACAAGGACTTCACCAACGCCAAGCCACGAACCTTTAATGGCACGGGTGGAATGATAACCCTAAAGAGATGGATAGAAAAGGTGGAATCAGTATTTGAGATATGTGAATGCCCCGAAGAGGTGAATCAGTATTTGAAGAAACCGTTTGGTTCGATCCGGTGTAGAAATTGACATGAAACCAGTTGTTGTTGAACCACTTTCATCTCTGGTTCCCGGTCTAATCGATTTAATCGTTCGGTTCGAATCATTTTTAAAACATTGATTGTGTATGACATTTCCATTATCAATTTCATTCCTATTATTGGTACAATGTCTTTTAGTTAGGGTGTGCACGGGTTAGTTTTGGGTTGAAACCGAACCCAACCCGATAATTTCGGTTTTTGGGTTTTGAACTCCATTGGGTTCGGTTTTTGGGTCCATGAATCGTTTCTTTGATTTTTGGTTCAAAGCATGGGTTGATAGGTTTTGGTTTTAACTGTGTTTTTTGGGTGACACTCTCCTTGCATATAATAATCTTCTTGTATTTGTTCAATGTTCCCTTGATTATTTGCTTCAAAGCCTTTGGTAACATCTTTCATCCAATCAAATATCATCAATGGTAATTATGTATCATGATCAAAATAGTGAGATCATGAGCTAAAAAGAACATGATTTGAGATTGAGCCTATACCATTGGCCTATTGGGAGTGCTTATGTAACCATGGGCGTAAGGATGAAATGTCAATGACACCTCTTTGTGTAGCCACCCCCAACTTGAGTAAGAACATTATGGTTGTTGAGTGAAGTGAGGAGCTCCACGGAGCTTCACAATCTCTCTCTCTCTCTCTCTCCCCCTCTCTCTCTCTCTCTTAGATTTTATTTATATAGAAAGATAACATGGAGTTATGAGTATTTTCTAGGGTTAGTAAGAGTATAGTGAAGTTGATGTGACACTGAGATGATAGTAAATACCTTATGGATTACTCCTAATAGCATTATCAACCCAAGTATCTGGATTTTCAATTTCATAATGATATTTAGGTCGAAGGGAGAAACATGCAACTCAATTTACCTTTTATTGGTATTACTAGGAGAGGTAGCATATGTTGTTTGAAAACAAAGATATTTGATTGAAATAAAAGGTTAATGGAATATGAGGTTTTATGAAATTAGCTATGAAACTTCACCTTCATTTTTAGGCTATGAGGTATATACGGTATACATAGAAGCTAGCCACATCAACTTAACACCCGTCCACCAACAACACTATACTATTCTAGGGTGGTCTTTACGCTTAGCTTCTTCCGTAGAGAGAGAGAGAGAGAGAGAGAGTCATTCTCTACCCCTCCGTCAAACATGCATCATGCCACAACAGGAGTACACCCATTTGGGATGGTGTTCACGCGTCAAGAGCTTGCAACTTAGCCTTAAGGGAACCTTCACTCACCAAATGACCTTAGACAAAAGTCTATGATTCCTCATTTTCGATATTTTGTATGCTTTTACAAAAACTAATCGAATTTTTCAGCTTCTTGTCCGGAAAAGATATTTCACAACCCAAAAATATTGTGCAATCCTATTACAAAATACTTTTATAATAGAAAAAGTTATTTCTCAACAATTAATATATTTCGTAGACGACAAAATACATGAATGATAAATATCTTAAAATAAAATGAAAAATGATCATTTTGTTAAATTAACATATTTTACCAATTTGATATTATTGCATTAACCCTGTCGGAGAAGCTGCTCTCAAGGTATTTATTATAGAGTAACTAAATTGGGGAAAGTAGTTGAAATGAAACCTATTTCACCCACCAGTAGTTCTTGTTGGCATTGATTCACTTCTTTTACCAAACATGCCAAGCTTCTAAATAAGTTTCCTCAATATCTTTAACCCAATCTCCCCCCATGCTCACATGCTCTCAGCCTTAGGTTATCTCCATCACATACCACTCTCTGATCTTTCTTCCTTTTTTGGAAAAAAGAAACTGTAAACATCAAAACTATGTCTTCATCAATGGCCTTGTTCTCTTCAACGACACCACATCTTCCTTCTTTATCCTCTTCCTTCAAAACCCACTTCCCAATTAACCCATTTCTCTCTTTGAAGCCTCAAAGACACCTGCTTTTTGTGTCTGTTAGAGCTACTGAAAATGGGGCCGGAGCTGTCATTGCTGTGGAGGAGAAGAAAGCTTCTCAGCCGAAGGCTCCGGAGGAGGCGTCTCTTGGAAACGGAGCTCCGATGGCAGAACAGGAGGAGGAAGCGATGGCGAAATTCGAAGATCCCAAATGGGTTTCGGGGACATGGGACTTAAAACAGTTTCAGAAAGGTGGAGCTACTGACTGGGATGGAGTTATCGATGCAGGTAAGATTCTGTCGACCACGTGTTTGATAAAAAGTCGATCTTGGAATTTGAGGTTTAGACATGGAATTGAATCGAATTAGGGTTTATTTGGGAACTCTAATTCAATGCAACTTCAAACCTTCGATTCCATGCTTCTTTAACAGTTATCTTACTTCAAAGCTTAAAAAACCCAGCTACTATTTCAAGCGCAGCAAAGCCCGAAAATCGACGAATAGGGTGGAATTTTACAGTTTTCGTTTTTCTGAAAATGATTGACCTTACGGTTTTATGCTAATTGATATTAGATCGACTACAAAAAGTGAAAAAACAACTGCTAAAACTGGACTTGCCAAACATGGTTCTTCTTGATTGTTCCTAAAAAACTAAAAGTTTTCTTAAAATTGCTAATTTTGTAAAGCGTGTGGCAGTTGTTTCATCATATCTTTTTCTGATTGTTAAACTCCTGGAAGATGATCTTATCAATTTTTGAAAACAAAAAACTTTGTTCACTATCTTCCACATTGTAGCTCTTTTAGCCATTTTGTCTACTTTTTACAATGACCTAAATGCCCCTCTTGATTTTCTTGTTTACTATTTCCAGAGGTTAAAAGGAGAAAATGGCTTGAAGACAATCCAGAATCATCCAACAATGACTTCCCTGTAGTTTTTGACACTTCCATTATTCCATGGTGGGCATGGATGAAGAGGTTTCATCTTCCAGAAGCTGAACTACTCAATGGTTAGTTTAATCTCACACGATTAAGATTGAAATTTTTTATAAAAATTAGAATGGGAAAAAAAAATCTTGAAAACTGCATTAACCATTGTTGTGTAGGGCGAGCTGCAATGGTGGGGTTCTTCATGGCTTACTTTGTAGATAGTTTGACCGGGGTTGGTCTAGTTGACCAAATGGGAAATTTCTTCTGCAAAACACTTCTATTTGTTGCAGTGGCTGGTGTTCTTTTGATCCGAAAGAATGAGGACTTAGATACCTTAAAGAAATTGTTTGATGAGACAACGTTTTATGACAAGCAATGGCAAGCAACTTGGCAAGATGAGAAGAAAGAATAAGAGTCGATGATGATTGATGAATGATAAAGTTTGGATCTTTTATGTTTCTTGTAGATCATCTTTGTTGTAGCTTATGGTTTTATGTTCTTCAATCGTGTTTCTTTAATGTTATAATGTGTTTTTTTTTCTTTTTCTTGAATTTGGATCGGTATAAGATAATAGCCGCATTTGTACTATGAGGTCATTCATGATTGAATTTGACTATTGAGTGGTATATTTGCATAAATAGTCAACGGTTTGAATCTTAGTTGTTGCATTGCAGTATATGAGTTTTAATTTCAATGTGGATTGGGCTGCTTCTAGGCACTAAGTTTTTATGCCCCGTCAGCAAACTGCTATGTATCTGATTTATATTTCACATGATATTTGGGAAGTACGGGCCAATCACAGTATGTGGGTTTTGGTTCCAATGTGAACCGGGCTTCTTCTGGACACTGGGTTCTTTTGTCAATCATCTAATGTGCAGTTGTGTATCTGATTTACATATCAAATAATGTTATGGAAGAATAATCTGTTCAGGTGTTGTTAGAAGCATAACCGTTAAATTTGTTTCTAGGTTTTGTTGTTTAACCTAGCTTGGGTCAAATCGTTCATCCGGTCGAACCCATTTATGGGGACTACTGAATCTACTGGCCAAAATCATATCATTTGTAAGAATCACATGTTATTTGAGACACTTAATGTTGATGGATTGTACATGAAAGCAAGAAGTACAACCATTTAATGTATAAGAGAAAAAAAAACAAATCTTGATTTGGTGGCACAGTTTATAGATGTAGAGATGTACTGGTTAGGCATGAAATGGGTAACATGAAAATTTATGTGGATGTGGAGTCATTGGCTTTGGTAGTTCTACTTAAATACTTCATTGAATATCCATCAACATCAAAAGAGGAAATTTGAAATTAATGGAAGTTTGGTCTTTACACGTAAATCTTGATATGTATTGTTTATTTGCTTGTTATATATGGTAAGTAATTGTCAAATTCATAATAAAAGAGATATCGTGAAGTGTTAAGATGCAAAATAATGCTTTGCTTATTTGTTTACTAGGTTATACCCCTCGAAACCACGGGAGGTACAGTTAAAAATTTTAGACAAAAAAAAAATTAATAAGTGTTTCCCTTAAAAAAGTAATTTTATGTGGAAGATCAGAAAAAGGTAGTAGACTTTGGGTGTGGATTGTGTCTTGCAACAGATAGGATGCTAATTTCATAAGTGGGTCCCTCATGAAGTGTTTTTTAAAACTTATAAAATAAGTCTTTAAAACATAGCTTAAATTATAGATCCCTAAAAAAAGTATAAAATACAGCATTAACAATTAATAAAGAAAACATATATTAAAAAAAATTATTAAAATAAAAAATATATTTGTTCATCCAAGAAAACCATTTCAATTGACTATTTTTCGTTAGCATCAAATTTAGAATCGAGTGTCCACAACTTCAATATTTTTACTTTGATTGTGAATCAGATATAACTGGGTCAATGTCTTTTATGAATGTAATATTTTAAGTAGCCATATTGCTATATTGCTGTAAAAAAAATTAGAAAAGTAAATCTTTAGTAAACCAACATCCCAAATTATTGAAAAAGATTTATTGAGGCTTTCCGCCATTAAGTCCTAACTTTTTGACAAATTTTCATCATACATTATTTTTCAATATCATTTTTATCTTTATTCGTTTGAAATTCCAGTAATTTAACAACAAAGTTACTAAGACACAATAAAAAGACCAAAATGCACTTTTCCCTGATTTCCTACATTTTTTCAATAATTTGTACAAACATAGCAACTCAGGTGCAAAGTGAAAATGGTTAAAACAATTAAGAAGTTATATGAAGTTACAAAGACCAAAATAAGAATGTTCATAATAAATGTACGAAAATACCTTTTTCCTAAATTTCCAAAACAATTTTTTTTAATAGCGTGAAAGAAAACAATTTTACTCTTTTATTTAAACGGAATCATTTACCACTTAGTTAATATGCACTTTAAGGTGATATAAATCCAATCATATACAGAACTCATGGTGTTGGTTTTGTTCATAAAAGAATGGATTTTTACTGAATTTGAAACAAAATCAGATACACAATAACAATTTACCCTTGTGAAAAATATTGAAAGTAGCATGTTTATTCGTTTGAAATTCCAGTAATTTAACAACAAAGTTACCGAGACACAATAAAAAGACCAAAATGCCCTTTTACCAGATTTCCCACGTATTTTCAATAATCTGTACAAACATAGCCAAGTCAGGTGCAAAGTGAAAATGGTAAAGGAATTAAGAAGTCATATGTAGTTACAAAGACGAAAATAACAATGTTTCATAATATATGGACGAAAATGCCATTTTCCTAAATTTCCAAAACAATTTTTTTAACAGCAGGAAAGAAAACCATTTTACTCTTTTATTTAAACGAAATCATTTACCACTTAGCTAATATGCACTCTATGATTATATAAATCCAATCATACTTCATACAGAAGTCATGGTGTTGGTTTTGTTCATAAAAAATGGATCGAACAATCCACTTTGAAAAATATATTTATCAATAAATTGAAGAAGAAATATAACTGACTGAAGTGGGATGCGTTTTAATAAGCAGATAAGAATATTTGCTTTCTTTTTTACTGATTTTACAACAAAAATAGCAACAGATACACGTACTCCGTATGTATTTTATTGTAAAAAAGCATATCTTATTGTGAAATTTTGCAGAAAAATGAATGATGGATTCAGAAGAGATATTTTTAGAAAATTGAAACTACATTGGAATTAATGTATTTCCAGAAAAATGTTATAAATACTGGTTTATGAAGATGAACTAACCGGATTTGTTATGATGTCACGTCTGCAGAAATCGTATTGTTGAGGATGATAAAGCAAAATAACCTTCGACAATGGGAATGAAAATTGAAGACTTGATACTGATATTGAAATAAAAAGGGAGAGAAAATATTAATTTCAAATTGCTGATTTCTTGAATTGATATCAAGGCCTCAAATTGCTCAGCAATTTGAATTGAAAGTTCCCTAGATAGAATTCAAGAGTAGTAAAGAAAAATAAGCATAAAATCAATGGAGTTTCCAAACAAAATACCAAATCCAGAAAAACCTTGATGGAAAATGTATGCAGAAAAACCTTGGAGCACCAAACACTATATTGTATTACAATTCAAAATAAAACTTGGAACGTTAAAATGATCACTAACGAATGGAAGGGAAGGTAAGACGAAATGAATACAAATAACTTTTAATTCCAAAATTCTCCTGGGCATTTTATCGAACACCTATAATGCAATAATAAGGAAGAAAGAAACGCCATATTGTGAGTATCAAAAATTCAAAACAAATTTAACTAAAAGCATATTAGTTCTTAAACCATAAGAATATCAAGATATCTAAGAAGTTGATAGCAATATATTTGTCGAATGGCCACTAAAGTTAATTGGGAGACAAAGCTCGTAAATAGAGCAAAGAAAACAAACCATCAAACATGTTTAACCAATCGATCGAGAATAGGAAACATGAAGCCTTAACTTAGTTACATCCATTTGGGTTTCCATCGATGTACTGAGAAAGAAAACAATAATTAAAAATTCATAGATATAACAAACCCTCGATCATAATGTGTTTGTAAATGACAAAATTGCAAGAATGGTCCCTGTGGTATGTCGAAAATTGCCACTTTGGGCCAAACAGGTTTGGACTAGCACCAATGGTCCAAACGTTTCAATTTTGTTGCGAGTTTGGTCCATTTTGGTTTAATTTTTTCTAAAATGACGATTTTGCCCTTTGTATTTATTTTTTTCATTTATTTTATTACAGAAATAAAAAAAAGAATTACCCTCTCTCTCACTCACACACACACACACACTTTCTCTCTCTCTCTCTCTCTCTTGTTTCTTGATTACCACTGACCAAAGAAGAAGACACCGGCGGCTGTCGCCGACCTAGGCTGCCCCCTCTGTCTCCTTCTGGTCAGGTAGCACCACCCAAACACCCGCTTCGACCGTTGTTGCCCTCCCTTTGAACCACGACAGCCGACGAAGAGAGAAAGGAGATTGAGATCCGAAGTAAGGGTTTCTCGACGGCTAGGGTTTCTTGGCAGCTAGGGTTTTCAGATGGGCCGTCCTTTATCTCCTCTGCTCCGACGATGACTTCAACTCTGCAAATCCTACATGGAAGAACACAATAACAAACCCGACTCAGTCTGTCCCTCTTTTTAAGTCCGTTCTTAACCGGTCTCCCCCTTTCTCAGATCTACATACACTCCAGATGTGACTCGACGAAGGAGATGAAGGTGAAGGCAAAGAAACCCTTTCTCTTTACGAAGGTTTGCTGATGGCGGCGACGACTTCCTCCCCCTAGATTTTCAGATCTGTTGTGGCGTTTGTGTATGTGTGTGTGTGTTTAATATCGTTGGTCTTTTTCGAGTTTGTGGGTGTGTCAAATCGACCCCAGATGTCTCAGGTTTGTAGCGACGCCGGATCTGGAATCTATGGATCTGTCGTCCTCCCTAGCTTTTCAGATCTGTTGTGGTGATGGATTTTGCCAAAATATTGATGTTGGTGGTGGTGTTGAACTAGTGGCGATGGTTGACGATGGTTATCGGAAAATCTGGTTGGTGTTGGTGGTTACCGGAAAATCCGGCTGCTGTTGGTGGTTGACGGAAAATCACGTGTTCTTTGAACTCATGCGATGGAGGTGGTAGAAGGGGAAGAGGTTGGAGAGAGAGAGAGAGAGCATCTTTTTTTTTTTCTTTTCTTTTTTGATTTTTGTAACAAAAAATTGAATAAACAAAATACAAAGGGCAAAATCGTCATTTAAAACCAAAATGGACCAAAGTCGCAACAAAATGAAACTTTTTGGACCATTAGTGCTAGTCCAAACCTGTTTGGCCCAAAGTAGCAATTTTCGACATAACACAGGGATCATTTTTGCAATTTTGTCTTTGTAAATAGATAAATGAAGAAATTACGCTTCAAGCTTCAAAGATTCTGATCTTGATTGTGGGAAGTGGAGCAGATCAAAAGTGAAATACGAATAAGAGGGGTAGGGGTTTGAAATTTGAAAATCCAAATCACTCCTCAATCAATGATTTTGTTGCTGAATTGTCGGACAATAAAATAGTTTCTATTTGAAAATCCTAATTTGTAGGGACTAAATAAAAATTAAAGACAAACAAATTAGAGAGAAACTTTTAATAAGAAGATGCCATGTGGCAAAACAGAAGTTAG